GATCCAAGTTTGACGGTAATATAATATTTACTCTTAATATTCTTTCAGGCTCGATTATCAGGGGGTGTGTCCTCCGGTTTTACGAAGTGAAGATGATTTAGATGGTGGTACACAGCACTACATAGGAGCTGATTGCAGTTACATAGCGTATTTATTATATTTATTTATTAAAACTTTTACGCTTCAACCATAAAACTAAATATCTTACGAGCCTTAATAGAAGACCATTTTAATGTGCTGATTTTGAGTTAAAATAAGGATTGGGTGAAGGGGAAAACGAGAAGACATCTATCGGAAAAAAATTGTGTATGAACAACTAAGAATGTACGGTGTGCAAAATATAAAAAAAACTGACCACCCTTAATAACATTTGATCTAATAATAGGTCTCTTCATCTCGCCCTAGAATTCAATCTCAATGGTTCGTGAGGGTGACCTATAATATGCTAATTGATAGACAACAAATTGATGCTAATTGATTAGCAGACGATAATTTAAATTACGAAATCTAGCACAAAAACTTACTTTCTGAGTAAATATGCCTTTTTTCAACGGATTCGGAGTTTTGACAACCAAAATGTAGGGGTAGCCGCAATTTGGGAAATATGGTCTCAATCGTTTGCTCAGGAGAGCGATCTAAAGTTTGGACCTCTTATTGTTATTTTTACTTTTTGCGTATTTCGCCATATCTCGAGAACTTTTTAAATTAATTGTAAGATTTTTGCACACAATTATAAAATTCGTTTATCCAAAGATATGTACAAGCAAAAATAAATTTTAATAAATATATATTATAATTTTGTTAAATAATAGTTGAAAAATATTGATTAAAAAGGTATAAAAAATTTTACATTATAATTTTTAGAGTATGTAATTTCACATGACAAATCACAAAATTGGCTGAATAGCTGCTGAGAAATTTAAATCTGAAAAAGTCGCTTGTTTAAAATTCGATTTCTCAGAAACTACTCGACCGGTTTCCTCAAAATTTTTATTTTTCCATGTAAAATTACGTATTTTAAGGTGACGCAAGAAAATTGTATGCCTTACAATTCAAATGTTTTCAGACTTTTATTAAATAAAATAATAAAAAATTTTTTACTAAAATTTATTTCTTACAAGGAATTATCTTTGTATAAACGACTTTCATAATAGTGTACAAAAGTTTTTTAATTCTCTTAGAAAGTTCTCCACAGATGACGAAATTCTCAAAAAGTTAAATTAACATTAAGGAGACTTAACTTTGGATTGCTCTTCTGACCAAACTATGGGGACCATATTTCCCAGATTGCGGCTGACCTCTATATTTTGGGGTTCAGAAATCTAAATCTGTTTTAAAAAGATGTCTTTATTCAGAGAAAATTCGTTTCTGTGTCTGATTTCGTAACCTAAAATATCATCTGCGCTAATTAAATAGCCTATTTCGGACCACCCCTTCGAATATTTGAGAATCAGTCCTAGAACGTCAAGATCCGATCCTTAAATCAAAAGTTATTCAGGGCTGTCCATTTTTTTAAAATTATTTTTTTGTTTTCTTTTCTTTGGCGAACTGTACATTCAGTATGATTTCAAGCGGAAACAACTAACTTAAAAAATGCATCCGATATCTACAAGAGACGTGTCAGATTTAAAATGTCAAGTGGTAGGATTCCTGTGATAATTCTCGAGTGTTAAGGAATCTTTCCCCATAAGTGAGGTGTCAAAATTTATAGCAAAATATGATATCAAACTTTTAAAGTTTCCTTAAATGATTTTTCAGCAATGAATACCAATTGATGTTGTTTTTTTTTGTATTTCGATTATATTTTAAAGATTTATAACAGTTATTTAACATCATAACCAAATATTAACTTGAACTGCCTGAAAACGTTAGATTATAGAATGTGTAAGAAAAACTTAATTTTTGATCTAAAGTTCAATTTATCACGCACTAACAAATCTTTAAGGAATTTCTAAGTTACAGTCGGACCTCGTTAAGACGAAAACGCTTAATACTAGTTTTTACTGAACAGGAAATAAAACAGTTTCCTCGTTACGTTATCTTAGGAAACAATAAAATTTGCATTGTTTTTTACGAACGTAGAAACAAGCCACTACTTGCACTTAAGATGAAGTAAATATTATGCCTAATGAAAAAAAATCACTTACTGTGACATTTAAGGCAGCCTTCATCGCTGTGAGAAGGTTTTTACTTTTTATAAACTATACAAATGGGATTAATGCATTTGGTTTTGTAACAAAGTAGAGAGGCCACCGTTAATTCATATGAATCTGCACTTGGTAGCATCCCAAACGGAGCACTTGAGCAGGCTTTGACTTCTGATATCGAGGTATATGGTGCCGATCTAAAAGATTACTCTGAAAAAAGAGAAAAATTTTGCATTTTTTCACAGCTGATGTTGAAATTTTTTTAATGTTAGTTATTTTTTGTGAACGTTTGTTGATTTTAGGTGAAGTGAAATTTTAAGTGCGAAATCGAGCGGATAAAAATATTTTTAGTTTGGAAATAAAGCAGAAAGTTTTTTTTTTTGGGGGGGNTTTTGGGGGGGGGGGGGTTTGATGATGGGATTTTGAAAATATAGCAATTGCAGTAAAGCACGGTGTATATGTGCTAGTACTCTTTTGTTAATCATTGATAATCGAGAATAAATTGAAGCTACTTGTGCAATTAATCATTTAGAGCATACAGGAAAACTGATGAGGTCTGCAAAAAATACAGACATTTACGTTGCTTCATTAGGGTGGATAAGAGAAGCATGTAGAATACAAATTTCAAACAAATATCTATAAGCGATTTTTTAAAAAAAATAGGGAAAAGGAGAAAAAAAAATTTCAAATTTTTTAAACAATTTCTCCTTAGACATTTATTTTTAATAAGCATAGTACAGTACAAATGCAACCGTCAGGTGTACACGTTGTGTGAGTATAGGCTAGTACGTTCGTAGGGCGTAAAAATATCTTTTCGGTAAAAAATAGAGATAAATATAAAATCAACATAAAATATACAACTTTATGGTGATTTAGAAGTTAATTTGTCATCAGTAAGATATTTAAATTCTTTGATATCTGTGCAATAGTGATTTGTTTGTTTGTTTTTTAAATTTAACTAGTAACGGTTAACACGGAAAAAAAAATTTGACCTTCGGCTTTGTCATAACGAGGTCCGACTGTAATTAACTTATAAAATCAGATACTTTCTATTAATATGCATACCATTTTACCAATTGTTTCTGATTTTTGGTCTTCAAAATAGAGGGGTAGACGTGATCATGTCTTAGTACCCATTTAATAAAATTAAAATCCTAACCCATGCCCCATAGAAAAATCCAAATCCATCGGGAAAAAATAGAAAATATAGTTTTTGAATCTAATTCCATAACTTAAGAAGATATTGTTTGTTTAGCTGGTATATTCAAATTTAATTTCTCAAAACATTAAAATTTCATTCCAGAACGTAAAAATCCGATCATTAGACCATAAGTTATTCGGCTTCACCACTCTTTTTATTTTGCTCACTGTATACATGTTTAAATTTCCCTAATTTTTTATTGACACAATAATTAAGAAATTATATTACCTAAAATAAGTATAAGAAGAAATCAATACTTTTTTTATAAATACAAATTATAATCTGAGATAATAATATTTTTAAATGAAGTAAATCAAATATCGTAACTTTATATAAAAGGAGATTTGACTTCTCCCCTTTTTTTATTTGGCTCACTGTATACATGTTTAAATTTCCTTCATTTTTTATTGACACAATAATTAAAAAATAATATTACCTAAAATAAGTATAAGAAGAAATCTAAATTTTTTTATAAATGAAAAGTCTTATAATCTGAGACAATAATATTCTTAAATAAAACAAACCAACTATCGTAACTTTATATAAAATGAGATATCAAGAATTTAGAAAAGTTTTTATTGTTATTACTACTACTTTTTGCATTTTTTTGTCACGTCAAGAATAATGAAATACTTTTTATACATTTTTTCAGGAATTTCGCAAGTACAATAGTTCAGTTTCAATTTCATCAAGCTCTTTGTGAGGAAGCCGGTCACGAAGGCCCTCTACATAAATGCAGTATATATAAAAACAAAAAAGCCGGAAAACTTCTAAGGTAATATCACAACATTAATTAAAGCACTAACTAACTAATTAAAACACTAACTAAATTTATTTTGAAACTACACTATTTTGTACACTCTTAAAAAATTTTATTATCTTGGCATTTTAGCATAAATATATCGCATTTAAGTTTTGTACATTGATCAAGCTTCCAAAAAATGCAATGAAAAATGATCATTTCGACAAAAACGAAGCTTCTTAAGCCTGACTTCATAGCAAGCTACAGTTCCTGAATATCTTTTATCTGAAATTCTTAATTTTTTAGCTGTAGACTCATAAATAATATTAAATACATCCAAAAATATTTTGTTCAATATTTCTTTCACACAATAAGTGTTACAGGTCTAAACCGAAAAAAAAAAGATAAGTTTCAATATTCTTTACGACTTTCACGTTTAATTACTAACCACCGACGTTAAATAAATAAATACGTATTTTTCAAGCATTAAAAATGTAAAGTTATTTTTAAATCAAAACCACAGAATAGATTTCTAAACAATCGATTGTCTATTCTTGACATTTAATGAAATTTTGTTTTCTAAACTGTTATTTTGTTAAAACTAAACATACTCATGAACTTTTTTTAAAAAAGGTCAAATAATAATTTTTTTTTTCAGTGACATGCTCAAATTGGGTAGCTCAGTGCCATGGGCAGAAGCTATGAAAGTGATTACAAAAGGAAAAACTGATAAAATGGATTCTACCTCTATTCTGGAATATTTTCAACCTCTATATGCCTGGTTAAAGAACCAAAATAGGAATGAATTTGTTGGGTGGAACACTAGTAACGATCCTATGAAGTGTCCATAGTAAAGATTAAAAATGGAACTCAATTTTAGGTGTCTAAATTACATTACAAATTTGTTGTTGTTGTTGTTGTCGTATACCAGTATACCATTATATAGTATATCAAAAGGGTGCGCTTCTTCTTATTTTCCAGTGGCGCCATCTATGGCCAAGATTTCGACTTTGTCCACACATATACGTCAAAACCCGTTAATAGGGCGTACCCATTAATACATCCTCAGGTCGTAGTTTTAGCCTGAACCATAGAATGGTCAATTTCTTATTCAAAACCCCCAAAGTATAATTTGTAATGAGAACATTGAGTATTTTGTGACCCAACAGATTTAAAGTCACCATCTACTTCATCGGGAATCTTCATCCGGCATATATTGAACTAACAACCTCTTGTACATGGGCCCAAGATCCTAGTTATCAAGCTATCCCAACCCACATTATAAATTTTTATGATGTAATAGGAAAAGAAACTCATTAACTTTTAATAATTCAGAATGAGATTTAAGTAAATGTTCCAGATTATCTGGTGTTTGATTATGCAGCACATGTAATTAAGCTTGAATGTCGGGTGCTTGTGGCTTGATTGCAAAGGTCTGATATTAAATTTATTATTTGTTTTACTTTGAGTTTACACAATTTAAACAACTCAAAATTGAAGTACAATAGTTCCAGATTGTTAGATCTAAAATGTCGTGCAAGGTCTGATCAGAAAAATTGAATGCTGGGAATCCAGTCCGAAAAGGGGCATGAATTCAACAAGGACTGTTCCGTTTCATATTCAAAGAATGAAAATTCAATTTTAAATTCTATGAATGTTATTTATCCAATTTGGAGTCCAATCAATGCAATGGATTTCATACGAATTGTTCAATGAATAAAATGAATTTAATATGAAATTTTCAATGAGTAAAAGGAATTTATTCTGAAAGTTTGTGTGTCAGAGAACAGACGAATTTTTGCAATTGGCTTTTATATCGTTTAAATACAAACATATGACGATTTTTTTAACAATCTTAATAAATTCGAATTTCACGTAACGTTGAAAAAGGAGCCTCAATTAAATGTTATCCTCTAATTAAACGACTAAAAACTGCAAGATTTAATTAAAATCAGTCATTGAATACTAACAATTCTTGTAATTTCCCATTGGTGGTATGGCTCAGTTGAAGTCAAGACTTTAAATAATATTGTCTGCATTTATATGTTTTTGTTAAAAAGATCTTTGTCCTGGTGGTTTTGTGTAAAAAAATATTATTTTTTATTTTACATTTACACATAATATGGATTTTCTAAAATACAAAATATTTTATTTCTGATATCATTTGCTATTAAAGCTATTGAAGATTAAAAAAAATAATCTGAAATATTCTGTTTCGTGTTGTTTTATGAATGGATTGAGTGACAAATGATTTAAAAAATGTACTAGATTCTAAGATTGTTTGAGGAAAAAATCTTTTCATCAAGCACTACTCAAGCAAGTTGCTTAAGAACGACTAAATGTTTGAACGACTTATGCATGTTTGACTAATCAAACATGCATAATCAAACCTACATTTATATACTAACTTTATTTAATTGCGTCAAAACTATTAAATTAATCCAGCACTTTATATTATTACAGTCCAACCATTTCTCGGAAAAACTAGATATACTATAATCTCAGATATACTAACTTTATTTAATTGTGTCAAAACTATTAAACTAATCCAACACTTTATATTATCACAGTCCAACCATTTCTCGGAAGAACTAGATATACTATAATCTCGGATATACTAACTTTATTTAATTGTGTCAAAACTATTAAACTAATCCAACACTTTATATTATTACAATCCAACCATTTCTCGGAAAAACTAGATATACTAGATATACTATAATCTCAGATATACTAACTTTATATAATTGTGTCAAAACTATTAAACTAATCCAACACTATATATTGGTACAGTTCAACCATTTCTCGGAAAAACTAGATATACTAGATATACTATAATCTCGGATATACTAACTTTATTTAATTGTGTCAAAACTCTTAAACTAATCCAACACTTTATATTGGTACAGTCCAACCATTTCTCGGAAAAACTAGATCAAAACAAAGCAATCGGCATTGAAATTGTGAATTCAAACATTTATTAACTTCAATGCATCTGAAAATAAATATTTTATTTTATAACCGTTGTTAAGCAACTGGCCCAATTGTGGGTTTACGACAAACAATGTTACAACTCCGTAGCCTTGTAATTTTGAACCCAACAATCCAGAAGACAAAGGAACTCCTGGATCAGTACCGCCAGACGATGTGATTCGTTATAAAAACTCGGAGGACTTTGTGACCCCGACAGATTTAATGTGCATCAGTCACCACTTACTACACGAGGAGTTTTCGGCGCTCTATCCCTTGAGCCACCAGGGCTCACAATGGATTATTTGCAATGGCGTGATAAACATTCCTGGGAATGAACTAAGCGCATACCATCACTATTTCGATCTGCAGAGGGGATGGCACCCCCACTGAAGAGTTTAACGGAGACCGGTACCACACACCCTTGATTCCTTCACAAGCTACTTAAAATGGTCTCCCATCCATTCAGTAATTGCAGTTAATGATGCTTGACTTCGGTGATCTACTTGGAACAAGTGAGCTCCGAACACTAAATTGTGGGACAAAAAATGTTAAAAGCTAACAGCTAACACTGCAAAAACACTATATGGAACAATCTATATTCAGATAAAAGGGTTAGTAAAGAGCATTGTTTTATCGGGTTTTTTTCAGTAAGCAGTATCATTTTTGAAGAATTCTGTAACTAATTTACTATTTGGTAAGAATACACTGCATGGTTGCTAAAACAGAGAGCAACAAACTATGCATTTCTGTCTCCTTCCGTTTCTCATAAAATGATATTTAAAGTTTTCAAAAAATTTTGACCATACGATATGAAAAATATACATATTTTCTTGAAAGATGAACTTTCTAATTTTATAACAAGAGTGTTACTATAACCTTATCTTCAGCACCGTATACATTGTGATCTCCACTATCTTCCAAATTACCAAAATCGTAGTCATTGACGTTGTTTTTGTGATTCAGAATCAGTCCTCTTTTCACATCACATGATGTGCAGTTAACGTAAAAGAAGTATTTCCCTGGTATATCTGGTATTTTAGAACCTCCATCTCTTCGATGGAAATCTTCTTCACTGGACTCCTTTAAAAAATAAAAGTCAAAGTACTACTAATCTTATTATAATGTAATAATAACAGCTTAATTTATATCTGATCATTTTATTTAACTTAAAACACTTAATTTAAGTTCTTGGGTGGGTATAGGTTTCTTAAATTTTAACAGTAAAACACAGCAAGTTAAAACAAGTTAACAGTAAAACACAAAGAATCATTAATCACTTAACGAATCATTTAACAAAGTAAATCTCCCGAAATATTTTCGATCTCTTAGATCTAAAGATATCTAAATTTTTCAGAATCAGATTATGTTTAACATATTAGAACTTTTATTTTTAGAAGATAAATTGCTTAATGTTATACTTATTTTATTTTTTTATTAACTTTTAGAAAAACATTACTTTGCTAAACAAATAATTCAGTATAATACAATTTTTATTCTATTTAATAAATGTTACCTTAATTTTGAAATTTATTGGTTTTGCTGAAAAATGAGAATAATTCAATTTTAACCGTTTATTGTTATAAAATACTCATTAGAATTTTCATTCTGGAATCGTTTCAATTGTTAAAATGTGCCGTTTCAGAATTAAACGTTTACGTTATAGCCCTATTACTATGGAATCAATATTACAATCTAAATTTTCAGAGGAATGTTTTAAACAACAAAACGTCATAAAAAGGAAAGAAAAATAGTTTCTGAAAAAGTGACATCCACTTTAAACACTTTAAATACATGAGAGCCCACGGGTAATCGTATATCAGTAGTCTCATGCAAAATTTGAAAATTCAAAACTGGACAATTTCTGTAAAAATTCAGAACAATATTAACACTTATGCATGTTCAAGAATTCTACAGATTTATAAAATAAAGTACTTCCCCGCTCTGAAATTGCCAAAGACATTATGAAATCCAAGCCATTAACACTAGAAAAGGCTAAACAATGCTATACCTATAAAGTCTGATGGATGGTCAGTGTGACCCTTCCTAGATTGTTCGTGTGTACACTAATTAGACATCCAATTAAAATATATTCATAATTAATTTAATAAAAGTATATTAGAGACTCAATTGCTAAAATTCTATTTTTTATAGTGGGCTTTTTTTTCTTCGTTAATGAAAATACTTTATTAAACCGATCATTGACTTTTCAATTACGTATAATTTTTCAGATAATTGAGTTTCCTTTAACTTATATTCATTCATTATATTACCTTATTCATTTCAAAACCGGAATTGACCAGATGATCAGCTAATAATGTTTAATTTTGTAATCTAGCAATGTTGAACCCAACTCAGCAGAAAAAAAGAAATTTTAGATCAAGCATTGTGCTCGAGCCACCAGTATGAAGAACTTTCTTATGGCTATACCCTACATTTAAGCTATGTTAATATACTCTTTTTTTTCAATGAAACTGGTATACCTTATACCTACCAAAAAGTACCCTATACACGAAGCTTCCAGGGGTCATGGAATATCTACCAAAGTCCCTTAAGGGCCACTCTGGTCCCTCCCGTTATTCTAATTTTAAGGTTCTACATACACATGATTATAATGCTAACATATGAATGATTAAATGAGTACATAAATTGGATCAAATTATAAAAAGTCAGAAATGCTCAATGATTTGAATCAGTCATTATTTTTTGTTTTTTGAATTACAGAGCAGCGAAAGAAGAAAAACCGAGAGGGTCGAAACAGGCCTCATTCGTCTTTCAGGTGTTAAAACACGAACAGGGAAACTACAATCCTGTCGGAGCCTCCCCCTTCTCCAGATTTTAGCACGGGAATCAACCCCGGTCCTAATCGTGGCAGACGATACTCTACCTATCCCACACTACTTAATAAATAAATTATAATACATTGAAATATCTAGAAAAAGTACATTCAGAATAAGATACAGTGAGGGAAAAAGGGAGCACTTTTGATCAAATGATCAAATTTTCGAATACTAAGATTTAATTTTAATGATTCTATAGCTTAACCTTAAAAATACTAATTAATTTGTGTAGAAAATATTTTAAGTTCCAAAACAAGGCACAAAAACGTACTTTCTCTGAATAACGCACCTTTTTTTCGACAGAAGCAGATTTCGTACTCCCGAAACATTGGAAATATCAACAATCTGAGAAATATAGTCCCAATAGTTTCGTCTGGAGAGTGCACCAATGTTTTGTCCCCTAAATGTTGATATTATATTTTGTGCATTTCATCATATCTCGAGAAATTTTTAAATGAGTCGAACAATTTTGCTCGGATAAGTAAAATGAGTTTATCCGAAGTAATTCCACGGAACAAATAATTTTTAATAATTATTTTTTATTATTTTATTTATCAATGTGTTAAAAGTATGAATTGGAATTATATTTAAGCAAATTTCTTCATTATTTTAAGGAATGCAAATTTTTATCACAAAATACAATAATTGAGTGATATCTAACGAATAGTTTCTGAAAAATCAAACTACAAGTCGTATATTTAAAGGTAACGTTTATGTAATGAATAAAACAGTTGCAATTTCAAAAAGTAATAAATTAACATACCTAGAAAATGTACTAGGTCCTCATTCGAAACATTTTTAACTAAACCAAATACAACACAGTAAACCACCACATTTTTAAATTCCCACTTTGATTTTCTTCCATTAAAATAACAAGGAGAAACAAAAGTTAGAAATTTTTTTTCCTTGATTCATGCTCCAGTCACATGGTTTCATTTTGAACACCAAAAATACCGTGATGAGCCTGTTCAATTTGTGTTTCATCTATATGATCTTAGTGACTAAAAAATCCTATTTTAGATCCTAATCAAATTCATCGTATTCTTTTTTTTTTTTTTTGCTCACTATACAGGAAGAGAAAAAAAAACCGTTTACGGTATACTTGTTTATAAGCATTTGTACAGGAACTTCATATTTAACAGAGTTTTTTGCTTTGTGTTTTCCTTTCGTATTTTTTAGTGAAACCAATTTAAGTAAAATCAACATCAAAAATACTTGCTGGTACAAAAGGTAAGACAATCAAACAAGAGAAGATCCCCCAACTTAAACACAAGCAAAGAAATATGAC